TATCCATATATATGCATATTGTTGTACAGTCAAACCTCTCTTAACCCATACCCCTCAGTGGACAGCCTGAGCTATGGGTTATGGGCTAATAGAGGTATGGTTAAAAATAGATTCTAAAAATTGACAAGAAAAAATCGCACAAAATCATCAAAAAAATGTTGGAAATAGGTTGAAGTAGTTACAAGGCTGCCAGGAACACCTGCTGTGCTAGACTTACTCCCAATTCTTTTTACATAGATACTGTCTAATACCAACACCAAGCACAGCTTTAAAATTTCAGGCAAGTAGGACCAGCAGAAGTCATCAGAATTGATTTTGAGAACAAAATGTGTGTGCTTGGAAGACTATCACATTGACCAAAATCCCTCAGTGACATGGTTGTGACATACCTTTGGATATCTTGTTTTTTTGCCTCCTCATGTTGGCAATGATCTGAGGCTGCAACACATCTTCATGGTATCTGGTAGACTCAATGTAAGTTTTTTAGGCTGCACAATATGATGTTGAAGCTAGATCAAGGAAAAAGTCAAGAATCTGCATATCCTGACCAAATATAGTATCTCAATATTCTCACATGCAGCTCTTCTGATAGATTTCCATATCTGTGTGATTGGACATAGTGTCACAAGGCCTTTTCTAAGGGTGTCATGTGGGTTGGGAGGCATAGGGGGAATATTTTTGGGAGTAAAAGCTTCTTTTATTTAATTTTGAGGTACTTGACAAGCACATGCATATCTGTGCTTGGTAAACTAAATATTTAACAGCCAATTGAAGGGTCTGTCTGACAAAAAACCTATGGGTTTTGGCTGGGGAGGGGTATGGGGTATGGGGTATGGGGTATGGGAACTTGTTGGATGCAAAATGCTATGGGATAAGAGAGGTTATGGGTTCTCAGAGGGGATAAGAGAGGTTATGGGTTCTCAGAGGTATGGGATAAGAGAGGTTCAACTGTATTCATGTATCCACATAGCATATATGTGGATACAAGAATAACATAGATACATGAATACAAAGATACACATATACATGGATTCATCAATACAAGAATATGTGTATATGCGGATACAAGGATACAGGAATATGTGTATATGAATTAGTACAAAACAGCCAGAAGCGGTGTGCAAGGCGTGAAAGGCGACAGTGGGGTAGTAGATAGCAAAGAAGAGGGGAAACATGAGCTATAAAAGTCATGCTCTAAAGAACCAATGCATTCTAATTTTATGTGTATGGGTCTAGGCCCCATTTCACTCAGTGCTTCATATTGTATCATTATAAAATTTTGCTCATATTTCACAGGTGACACAAAGCTCACATTGACTGCCAGATGCTCCTCAAATTAAATATCTTATATTTGAAGCTTGAAGGATGTTTCCTTCAATCAAATTTCTAAGCATGCTGTGGAACTCTTCTTGCTATCTAAC